ATTATGTGAACACAAATAGAAGAAGAAATATTTCACGACCTTTATCCATAGCTGCGTTTTGTCTATGATTTGGACAATGCTTAAGATGTGGTTGGATAACACTTGAAACATTAAGAATTAGTCTGGGCCAGAGCATGTTTACGTTCAGAATCTTCTTGTTTTGTGAAGAGGGAAAAAAATGATTATGTTATACACTTTTCCATTCAATCGCATATGTTACTTCAGTTGTACTTGAAGCTAATGTATAGTTTTTATATAAATGAAATTTTGTTTGATCTTGTTTGGGAAGGGCATGTTACAATTCTTTCCGACGCAAGTTCATGCACTCAGATCATAAAGATGCATTTATATCGAGGATTTCGAATTTCCAATATGGAGATATCCCTTGTACTTAATGACATTGACAAACAATGGAATATGGATCAACATGAGGCATCGGGATCATCCAGAAATAGACCTGCAACAAGTCGTATCTTAGCTATAGTAAGCAAAATGCGTCGTATTGAGAACCCACGAACACAAGGGTCAGTGACAAAAGTCGTCTATGTGCCCATGGCAACAATACACAACGTAATCAAAAAAAGTCTGAAAAAGTTACACAAGTTACTTCCACGATATATCCAGGAGAGGAAAACCAACTGTATAGAACTGTACGAGCAGTATTTAGTCAGGGGAAAAGATCAGTACGTGATGACAGTCGGCGAATCGTATGTGTACCTTAATAAGAGTAAAACATCTCGTGCCATTTTCCGAAAGTGGTACACAGCATGTCGTGAAGCTATGCCATGATCATCGCTGGATATTGCGCCAAGGACAAGTTAAGGATCAGGGTACAAATGTCTATGTGAACTTTCTTACTATCAAACCAACATTTTGAGCCCTTATTACCACACAGAAATATCAATGTTAGACAGAAAGGAAGAAAACAATGAATGGATTTACCAAGATAAGACTTCCAGTCATACTTTCATTTCAACTGTCTCTGTTGGAGAGTTAAATAGTTATTCACGCTATTCCCTACAAAGACATAACAGTTTAGACACCAGACACAGAAAGATAGCTGAGAAACTATGGTCATACAATAGCTGGATTATGGAAACCCTGCAGGGAGGAGTGGTGTGTTTTGGATATAAATCTGTATGGCTATTGTGAAGATACACTTTCTTTAGGTAGATCATGACTGGGCGGGGGGACGTGGACAGACTTTAACTATGGAGACTCCAAATATGTTTTAATATAATATGCTCAACCTCTGTAGAACATATCTCAGAATAAACATATTTCTACAGACACGTAAACTTGACAAACATAACTAACTTCTGCTGTTCCCTGTTTATGAATACTACTCTTCTGTTGTTTATTGTCAAGAAAATTCTGCTCTGTCTACTGTTATTGTCTACAAATAATGCTAGGTTTATTGTCTAATTATATATCAAGATGTTCTCAATTCTACGTATTTATTGTACTTATAACTGAGTCCTATAAGTATGGTTACTGATACTGGTCTAGTTTATTTTTGTATTGTAACTTGAGAGAGCTTGATGTGCGAACCTCAAAAATGTCATAGTGTCTTTCTCAGGGTATTTATTGCAAGATGATTTTTTTTTGGTAGTTTTTTTCCAGCTGAGAAAAAGGTTAAACTAAATCAAAATTAGTTTTGTTGATGTTTGATAAAGTTATGTCAGTTGAGGTTAAGTCCAAATTTGTCTATGTGCCTAAATGCAGCTCCAGCACCTGAAATTGGAGCTAAGTCCCACCCCTAAAGCTAAAAATATGTATATAACAAAAGTTTTGCTGTTTACACTCGAAATTGTCTTTCATAAACAAACTCCCAGAGTGTCATAAAACTTTCTGGCTGTTTTTGACCCACCCCACCCCTTGTTCACTGGTAGAGCCTTCTCAGACCGCCCAGCACACTCTCTGTCACTCTCCCTCTGGAGCTGGCGTCAGGCACCGTGCAACGTTCCGGCTCAAGGGCAGGTGTCAGAGCGTTAAAATGGTGAAATATTTCTTGTTATTAAGTCACACAAATATTGGATTAAAACACTTAATAAAATACATTTTACAATTGTGTGTTTAAAAGGTATCTATACAACTAAGACAGCTTTTCTTTTTAGTTATTCTTGGAGACGGCTTGAATGGGTAATGAAGAAAA